GGTCACAGTTGATCCCTGGTCAGTCAGAATTTTATGGTTGCCAGAGGATCTGCTCCCCAGGGTAAGGGGGGCATGGCCATGGCATGAGGGCGCTGCGCCCCTGTTCCCTTGTTTAAAAAAAATCCCTGCTGGTAGCATAGTGGTTGTTGATTGATAGACCCACCCCGCCTCTTAGGCTGAACACAAAAAAAGGTTACCGGTAACCCCTACCCTGGGTGAGTGTGCCACACTCAATGGGAGGGCCAATTCCACTGGCTGAGATTCATTCACTAACGAATGTGGCTTCTGGGGATCTTTGGTTAAGGTATACAGGACTGAGGTGCTTGTGTTCAACCGAGCCTGGTTGACAAAAGATAGCGCATTAAAATTGCCATTTGATAGAGGGATGGCCGCACAACCCTGTCATGTAATTCAAACATGAATATGGCTTCTGTGGCAAAGATGTGTCAGCACAAGTTTGCAGTTTGCACATAAAAAAAGTTAGTTAGGAGAGACAACAGGGATTTTCAATGGTTCAATGTAATATTGTCAAATAGAAAGTCAATAATCTTACCTGCTCATCACAATCAGATTCTAAGTATTTCCCACCTTTCTTGAAACAATCAGTATAATCACAGTCATCACTTTGGTTGAGGCATTCACTTCCGCCTTTCTCAATCATAGACATTAAATCTATCTGTAAAGAAAACAAACAGACTAGTTACAAATTGCAAGCATTGAATTTAAACCCATTCTGATTTTTTTTTTCTGTGAAGTATAAATATTAACTTAAGCAATTTATGTGTTTATGTGAAAGATCACCCACTGCATAAGATCATGCATGTATACACAAATGATAAATACTGTAGAATACTTTATTTTCGCTTGAAATTAATTTCCGCTATTTTCTCTAAAGGAATGATTCAGTGAAAAATAAAATCCAGCGAATATACCCTTTTTCCTATATTTTACATTCAACTCGTCAACAAATCAGTAAAAATGAATTCCATACAAAACACACAAAAAAGTCAGTCTTTTCAGTGAAAATTAATTCCAGCTAAAGAAAATTTTACAGTACTGACAAAATAATTAGGTTTCTATCAACCAAATTGCAACACCTTAGATGAAGCCAACATTTTATGACAGTTCCTAAAATCTGTATGTGATTGTGTCAGAAGAAACTGTATATAACGTCAGTTAAATTGAATGGATTCTGATTGCATCAACTTTAAATTAAAACCAACATCTTTTGCTGTCTTGTACACCCCCACAGCTTAACTGAATTTTGATTTTGCCATGGAAGAGCATCCACAAAATGATATTTTGTTTTTAACACAGAATCCCACCACGGAATGTGTGCAATTTTGTTTGATTTCACAAATAGTGAACACAAATTTATAGTGGAAACTCCGCCATGGTATGAATTAAATTAAAGAGCCTCAGCTGTAAAGATGGACAATTTCTAGCAGTGATTTTATATGTGGCCTCATGAAAATTATAGACAGTGATTTACAGTACTCACATGGCCAGGAACTCCAGATTCCTCCGTCTCCTCAGGTTCACTACCGATCCATTGTTTAATTTTTGCCTCTAGTCCCACAGGATCAGCTCCTCGCAGTTCATCCAACTTTGTTTTATTACGAAAAAACATGAACGTTGGCATCGCCCTCACACCATTTCCATGCGCTGTATTCTGTAATGAATAAACATAACCTTAATGCACACTTTGTCTACTAAGAAATCTCCCCAGACAGCCATCCCCATCAAAACCCATCAAAAAAAAGCTCAACAAAGTAGTAGGAGAATGCAACTTTACATCAGTATTATGTAGTCAGCCATCTTGATTCTCAAGCAAAGGATTATGGGTAAAGTATGACATAGAATCTGTTGTCAGAAATTGAAAAATTTTCAACTATTACAAATAAAACAGAGGTTATACCACATGAACAACCACAGAACAATCTGTAGGTAATTTAACTTCAAAGTTGGCTAGTCTTTTTCATGAAAAGTATCAATGTCATTAAAGCGGGAGGGTCATCACCTACGGACCCGCGGGAATTGAGTCCCAAGCGACGATAACACACACTGAAACCGCAAAGGCTCATGGGTACGCTTGTTT